TTCAATTCTCAGCACCATATATAAAAAAGTAAAATAAGATTCATGACAACTAAAAATATATTTTGGAGATTTAGCTCAGGAATAAAGTAGTCCTAGGCTCAATCCCCATTAGCAAAACTAGTTTAAACAAACAGCAGCAGACTACTATGAAGAAATATCACAGCTTTGGCTCATTCAGGCTTCTAAAACAAGACCCCATGGCATCTCTACCTTGCAAACAACCATTTATTTCTTACCGTTTTGCAGGGGTAGAAGTTGGAGATTGAAGACTGCTTCCAAATTTCTTAAGACACCTTCCTGCAGGCTCCTCACAAAAGGGAGAATCACTTTGGGACTTCCTTTACATAGCCACAGCTATATCCTGGGTTGTGGACTTCACCCCCAGGGTCAAAAGGTGGAAGGGTCCTCCCCCTAGGAGATAAGTTTCAGCACACTAATGGCACACTTCTGGCATCACCACTCCCTCAATAGGGTGGAGTAAATTAGAGTGCATCCAAAAAAAAAAAATATCACTCGGCCTTTGGGAAACTATTTAGACCATGAGGCAAAAAAACTATTCATGTTTTGAGACAACTAAGGAAATCCAAACACCACCAGTATGACAATAGTAATGAATTACTGTTGATAGTCTTAACTATTTGTGAAAACTTAGCATTGAGAGATACACAATAGAACATTTAATGCAATGGTTTTCCTAGCCATGTATGGAGAACTATTGAAGAGGTGAAAAGTGGCAAAAGCACAATCTCTCAACTTTTGTGAGTATTGAAAATGCTCCAGGGCTTCCTTCTCAGTGAAGGAGCGCTCCCGCTCCTGCTCCTGCTCCCGTCATGATATGAGGCACTGGGTTCCATCCTCAGCACCACATAGAAATTAATAAATAAAATAAAGGTACTATGTCCATCAAAACTAAACATAAATTAAATAAATAAATAAATACAAAAGAAAGAAAATTCTCCACTAATTTTTTTTAAGTTATTCATGTTTCCGTTTACTGATATGAAAAACCTTAAGACAAACTGTCACATAAGGCAGCAGGAAACAAGCCAGGTGCAAAGGCAAAGGCAAAGGCATGTAATCCCAATGGCTCTGGAGGCTGAGGCTGCAGGAGTGTAAATTTAAAGCTAGCCTCAGCAATATAGTGAGGCCCTAAGCAACTTTGCAAGACCCTATCTCTAAATAAAAATTTTAAAATAAGCTGGGGATGTGGCTCAGTAGTTAAGTGCCCCTGGGTTCAATTCCAATTTATTTATTGTAGCCAATAAATAAATAAATAAGAATCAAATTTTAAAATACCAGGAAACAAAATGTGAGTTCATTCAGGTAAATTTATGTGTTATATGTGCATGGTAAACACAAATCCAGGGTGATAACCTCAAATTAACTATGAAAATATTAATACTGAAGTCACATTAGACTATGATTTTCATGACTACTTCCTAATGAAACATTTCTACATAACTTGAGTTTTAAAATAAACTCTGTTTTAACAATTTAGTAATATAAAATTATTCAATTTTCTAAATGATACACAGGCACAAACATTAAGAAGCTCTACTAAGGTCCTAGGGGCATAGCTCAGTGGTAGGGTGCTTGCCTAGGATTATGAGTCATATTTGATC